TGCGACAATTCGAGGTTGGAAACGTACCTAGGTATCATTCCAAATACCCCAACTAAGATCACGACCCATTTTTTGTGAGCCACAAGATAGGCAATGTGACTGTCTCTCATTCTCTATTAGCGTAGAATTGGCAGAATTACATCATAGGTCATATAGTCTAAACAGAAGCTGTTATTACGCACAGGCAAGCAGAATCGCGCATGGGAATAACATTTTCGGAGAAAGCTACATGTCGAGATAGTAGAAAACAATGGCTCACGTATAGGGGAAGACCTTAAAATTATCCAAGCCATTTTCATGGACAAAGGGTTTTACAATAATAGAAGCTTGCATGGTTCTCTATACGACCTCAAAGTAGATGTCGGCGCGCCGAATATTAAGTAGTGAAGTGTATATATATGAAAGCTATCGTATTGTATTGAAGGGGCTATCAAATGACACTCGACAACTGTTAACCTTACTGACTTAGGCATACAGTAATATAAGAAGAAACGATTAATCAAGGCTAAAAGTACACAATATTCGATTATTTGGATGCTATCATGGAAAACAACGCGAATAAAATGAGAAACAGCTACGCATATATATTTAGACTAACAAGACCTCTTGCTTCCTTACTCTTCTCCAGCCCCGTTTCAGTATCCATAAAAATAGGAGCTATTTATATATATATATATATATATATGAAATGAACAGACCTCCCAAGTCCAGTTAATGAATATCTTTTTTGGTCGATCCCTTGCCGATGGCACTTGTTTATCGAGGATTATGGGAAAGCCGAGAGTCAACGCCCTCGAGAATAGAAACAGTTTGCGTGGCCAGGTGTCCTAGAGCCTCGGCATTCAGAAACATGTCCCGTACTTGCGAGAAGCGGTCAATTTGCTCTATTACCTGCCGAAGCTTCTCAATATAGTGATTCAAGGTATTATAGATAGTAGACTCATCGAAATAGTCCCAAACCTTGTTTTCCCGGAACGCTGCTTCAGCAAGGGCTCTCAGGAGTTGCCTGTCTACGCCTGCACCGAATGTTGTCCGTATGGTTTGACAAAGATCGCTGAGCTGTTCTACGGGAATATGGCGGTAACAAAAAGTCGCAAAAGCGAGCTCGATATCACCCCACTGGCCCTTGAAGCCCTTGTCTATGCTGCGGCGTTGTCCTGCTAGCCTCTCGAAGAGAAGTTGTGCTGCCTGCTTCACGATTTTGGGATCTAGCTTATCAAGGTCCGGAGCAAGGTTCATGGCCTTTATCAGGATAAGCGCTCCTATAGATGTAGACGTCTGGCAATCATAGCATTTCTTCGTCCCAAGTGCTTGGGTCGTCATTTGGAAACGCATTAGGGATAGACTAAGTCGACTAGGCTCGTGACGACACGCAAAGGAAAATACTTTATTACTTGGAGATCGTAATGCAGAAGGATTCCTTGATGATACAGGGGAGAGAGGTGATGGCGTAGAAGGGCTTTGTGAGAAAATGGGCGACCTCACACTTCGCGGCGACATGGAAACATTCCGCAACACCGAAGAACTCCGCGACGGCATTCTGATAGTCTGATAGTCTAAGAAGCTCTTAATGGTGTACTTGCCTAGTAAATATGATTATTTGGTCTCTGATTGAGGGAAATTTGCTTATGTGCCGTTGGCCTTACTAGATATTACACAACTCCGATGGAAGACGCCATTATTTAAAGGCCAACTGTAACAATATTACGACACGAAACAATGAGAAAGTAATTAAACCTACTATTCATTCAAACTATTAACAAAGATTTTGTTTTCTTGACCACGCTTTCTCTTTGAAGGCTAGATTTTGCCCTGTTGTTTAACATTTCTCTATGGACAGAGGGGAGAGAAAACCATTTGCTACATAGTAAGATGACCGATTATACTAGTTCTTAGTACTAGCTAGTTGGTAAACGTTACTACGCATCAGAGAGCAAACGCCGAGCTCACGCGGCGCTTCAAGACCCACCGCTCCAAAGCACGACTCTCCCAGGAGGTAATTAAATTAACGCTGGAAGAATTGGGCTCGGTACTAATACCATTTGTGCCTACAACTCATGTCATACAAGCGAACACTCCACCGCCAAAACATATTGCTCAGCCATTCGGATATAGCCGAGACACTCTCGGAGGCACCAGCCGAGAGAACGCCACAAGTCAGACCGGCAGGAACACATTCATAATTACTTTAGTCAACTGAATGTCTAGTGCTGAGATAAGTATGGTGGATAGCCCGCCTAAATTTAGTGCCTAATCCTTACACCATCTATTCCCACGTGGGCATCGCGCAATATTCGCCAGGTTATTCTTGACCAGACCCCAGCCTCCCGCCCCTGCGATCACGCTGCACGTAAGCTTTATAGCTGTAGGGTCCAGAAGGTTCACTAGGGTTACTGGCCGGTAACTTCCCGGTGGAAAGAAATGACTCTGGGCTGCCGTATATGTAAGCACCTGCTAATATAAAAGAGATGGCTGCTCTCGGTGCTGGAATCAATGTCTTAAGTTCGTGGGGGCGCGTAAACCTCATCACACAATAAGTTTCTACCACTGTGTTTCATCCAACTGAAACTCATTGACCGCACTCTGCCAGTCGCGATATTAGCACTCCTTTGCTTCAACCCTGTACCTACATATATATACCTAACCCACTCGACATGGCATCGCTTGTAACAGCTCTCGGCTTTCGAGCCACCGGGGTTGGACTATCGTCCCCGAACTGGGCGCCAGCACTGTTAAGCTGGCAATTTTTCTTTGCGTACGGTCTTATGTCCTCCCGGACGTTGAAACAATGGTACGGGATTGACCACAACTCATCGCCAAGAGAAGACCTAGCCAAATACGGCGATGCAGCGGTACGGTCCGGAAAAATCACACAAAAGCAGTTAGAGATGCTTAGGCGCAACGAGTCGGCGCACGCCAATTCCGTCGAAAACTATACCTTGTTCGTGGCCGCCATGGGCTTTGCCACGTTCGCAGGTGTCGAACCTCACCTGATCAATCGCGCGGGGTTGCTTTATGCGACTGCGCGTATCGTATATGGAGCCGTCTACGTATTGATCGATCATGATATCTGGAGTCAAATTCGGGGCATTACATGGTGGACTGGTAACCTTAGCTGTCTCTGGTTGCTGTATAGGGCCGGGGCAAAGTTAAATTCAGTATGATGGACAGACCAGAATGAGAGAATCCTAGGTCATGCGACAAAAGTTGCGAGCGAATCGGCGCCCTTAAATAAACAAACGCATATCGATAATTGGCGCCATCATTATCGGTACTGGAGATACTGGAGATGAGATGTGCCAAGCCACACGATGTTAAGCTACCGCATGCAGGTACAACTTCATACTATACATTATTTTCAGCGCTGTAGCCCGTTACCTAGTTTCTCTCTGAAAATATGTCTTAAGTTACAGGTCCTCCAAGAGCGTCATTTTCCAGTCAATACGGCCGTAGTTGACGACAAACTTCAATATGGTCCGGTGTAGCGGGCACCAGATGTATCATTAACATCCGGTAGAACCACAACTGCAGTTTATGTTAGTCATGGGTCGGTTTCATATATAACACAAAGCCTATCATTCTACCTATTGGTGGATTTATGATTTCCATTTTCGCATTTGGCGTTCCGAACCTTGATATATTATAGCCTATTGACAAAGGTGTCTTTTTTTGATCCTCGTCATCAAGTGTACCCTTTCCCACTACATTGTATCCGTGTCTTTCTAGCTAATACCGTACCCGAGTTCATTAATATGAAGGGAGTTTCCGTGGCTTTTGGCGTCTTCTTTACGCTTGCTCATCAAGCGTCCGCGAACGTCGACCATGTCAGTCTTTATGCTTCGAGCGGCGCAACTATCATAGAAGCCTCGGCTACACTCGTTCTCCCAAGTGCACCGAATCCCATCGCAGGCGATGTCGCCTTATGGAGTGCCATCCAACTGGATAGCGACTTCATTCAGGGAGTTTCTGAGAATGCGCCCTCTGGCTCAGGTTATTGCACCAACCTAGGGACTAACTGGTGCAACTTTGCATACGCTCTCACGCCAAATGTCCAGAATGGCCAACCCGTAATCGCTGCTCCTGGGACCAGAGTTCGGACGCATTGTAGGCTCCATACTCATTCTCCTGAACTTTAGAGCCTAATGTTAGTGCTAGACAAGCTCAATTCATCGACAAGCAAGTGGGACCAGGATCTCTATGTGAACGATGCACTAGTATCAAGCGTCTCTACAAGTACGCCACGCATATCAGCGGCAACAAAGTTCTAGATATAAAACTGACACTTACTGATATAGGTCAAGGACAAAAGGGAAACATATTCTACATCTCCGTAGAATGTGCGAGCGGTTCTTGTGCCGCCGCACCAGCACATAGTACTACCACCATTCTATCACGGTAGATGCGATATATCCAAGCGAGCGCTGACTTGTCGATTTTTAGGCTGGGAAGACGTTTCAATCATCTTGAGTGACGCAAACCCCAATTTTAAACATAGCGGAAGCTGGTATTTTGGAGCGACCGGCGGAGAAATGTCAACTTCAGATGGGGGGAAGACTTGGACGTTTACCACACTCAGCATCCCCGCTACTACCGATTAACGCTATGCGGTGTGTAGTGCTTATTCGAGATATATTCAACTCCAACAAACTAAGCTATGGAAAACGCTGCTTGAAGTCCTTGCGTGGCTCGGTAGATTGGAAGGCTCCATCTACCGTTCAATAATATAATTATGTTTCTCGAATCGATTTCCGGAATGACTTATTTTTTTCATACAATGAGTCGAGGTAAGACGATTAGGGTCTTCGCATAAAAACTCCCTTCAGAAAACACTAACAACTGCTATGCACTCTCCCTTTCTTTCACGTCTAAGCTGGAACTAGTCAAGCTGTTTCGGAGATATTTACGTATTACTCGACATGCCATGACTCTGCTGTCCGATTCGACCGAAGTCAGGTACTATTATTAGAGTTGTTGGCGAGTTGGGCATCCACTTAAAACCAGTCTTCGTAGCGCAGTTGGTTAGCGCGTAGGTCTCATATTTGTATGATCCGGTCAAAAATCGGGCCATCCTAAGGTCGTGAGTTCGAGTCTCACCGAGGACATAAATTTTTGTGTTTTTTATACTGTACAAAATTCATCATATCCGCAAGTTTCCTAGATCGTGTTCTTGAATGGAACGGAAACTTGGAAATAAATACAGTACTCTCATAGGCTTGTGTCACGCGAAACGACGCCGTTGATGCGTGATAGGGCACAACAGGTTATATACCCGCTCTAGCGCGACGGCTTTTATTTTATAGGGAAGAATAAGCTGCTTGGTGTAAGTTTCTTTAAGGTAGGTTTCTTTCCATGTTTGAAATTTTATAATTTCCTTAGGGTAGGTGAATAACGCTCATGGCATTGGCAAGACGGCGCTTATGAGGTTAGATTTCTCTTTTAAAGATACTCTAGAACCTTAGCTTGATATAATGTCGGTTCTATTTCTTTGGGTTGTGGCTTATTAATCTCAAAGATTGTTTCAATAGCATTATTATTACCATAAGTTCTGGTTTCCCTCCAGTTGTTGCCAGATACTTACACTCATGCTACAAAAGTCAGTGATAATTCACCGGTGTTACGATGGACGCATGGATGGAGGATAAAGGAAGTACGTGTATGTAGTTGAATAGCTTCACTGTGTCAATGCGAGAGGTGATTGAGGCATTTGCGCGGCAATGGGAATCTGTACATACCCTCATACTTCTTATCCGAAAACCTAAAGGCAAAGACCTTTTTACAATAAGAAGTGAGTGGACAGAGGCTTCGGGAATGCTTATGCGACGGTTGAGCCAGGGTCTGCTTCAACACCGAGTTGTAGTATGTGGAGGGGTCGAAAACTGACTACCTCTCCGCGAATGTAGATTGACCCGACTCTAAGTCTCTTGCTTCGGACTGGATATTCTGAAGGCGAATCACAGCCCGTTTCGTAGTCGAAGGGTAGAAGATAAGCGTAAATATGTGGCTCGATGGAAGTGATATATTCATTAATATATGTCAGTAGTTTGACGAGCTCGCTTCAATGCTCTTCATGACAAATATGCCGAGATAAACAATCGGACCGGGAAAGAATAATGTGTGCATGCAATGTACTTGACCGCTATTCTGCCTTATAACGAAAGCTAAAAGGCCGAACTCTTTGGGCTCGGCGTTTCCGCGGCCGAATTCTGATATAACCAGCTTAGCAGAGAGCCGCGTAGGGCTTGCAGACATCCTTGGCACTATCGTCCGAAGACAATTAGTATGGGCAGCCTGAGACCTCAAAGTCAAAAAGCAAATCAAATACCCTCTAAAACTACGTGCAAAACCCCTGTGCGGTTACTCTTAGCTTCGGATCTAGTAAAGTAAAAGGCGTCAAATAGAATGAATGAACATTTATGTAGAGCCTTCTGATAGATAGGCTATTTCAAGACTGCAAAGGAATATAGGGGGTTGTAAAAGCTGATTTGAGCAACCTTTAGTGATTAGCAATTCAGATCTACTGTTTGATATTACATAAACGTGCATATAAGCTATTATACCTATTGTAGTATGATAGCGACAGATGCGAAAGCACTTTATACTGTCGAATCGAACAGCAGATGATAATATGCATATCACCGGATAGTAGCTATTATGCAAATTATTGCTAGAAAAGATAATTAAGCATCCACGATGGGCTGGGCCCCAGCGTTGATTTGGATTGTCTTTTGTTCTGGCCATTCGTTGTATTGTGCGCAATGCATGACACTTATAAACAACATGAAAAGCTGAATCGAGGCTGTAAATCGAGTTTCGCTCTCTTGTAGTCACCATCGTCCTACCTTTAAGGGGATAAATAATCAACAGGCGACTAGGAACTTTTCAGTTGACACTGGAGACCACCACGCTGGCTTAGTGGTTATTTACAAATCCAGTTCACTCTTAGTTAGTGGAATAGTTGAGAATGCGTTGCTTGATATTATTATAGTCAATCTTCGACGACAGACGGAATTCTGCCACTGAAAGGGGGTTTGATTTGAGTTGTTACTTAGGGACACTCTGATCTGGCGTCTAAGGCCATTCAGAATCACGCTTACCTTGCCGGTGACCCCGGATTGCGTTCACCTTGTGGGAAACCCTCACTGATATGGGGCCCATATTGGCAGGTAACTGCTGAAGTAGGCAATGGGAGGTCCGGGTTTCTCGTCCAGGTTCATAGTATCCGAGCGGGTTTCATAGTCATTACCGACAACAGGGAATTTGGTCTGACATTACTGACACCGATATCCCGCCTAGTTTTATTAGTAAATTACCACGCCCCCACAACCCAGAACTGACAGTATAAGGCTGGGGCCGGAAATTCCCAGCGTTTAATCGCCCCGGAAGCTCCCGTAACCGATACGTCATGGATATGCAACCGATTCCTAACAATTAACCATTTAGACCGCTATACTACTATCTATTTTTGTAATTGATCAGGCTGTGCCGTAACTTTAGCACTTTATTTTATAAATGCAGATTTGTGCTGTCCTGCTACAGCCAACAATCTACACAGGTATTACCTACTTGGTCAGCACGGGTCTGTACACTAAACAGAAACCCTGCACCAAAATCGGCTGACTACACTACAATATCGTCTAGGTACCTTGCGCAGATCGAGCCCCTCTATAAGATCTACGTTGTCGTTGATTAAAGGTAGCATGGTACATCATACCAGTAGTATAGATATAATTTTTAGCGTAATTGGGTGATTATGTCTAGCAAATGATTGTAGGGAGTCTCGTGCCTCCTTATGGGAATGAACATTCTTTTTCATGTGCTCAGCTACTTTAGGCTCCGAGGCATAACGCCATTGGTAGTGTTGAATGAGTCACGTATTCATCAGACATAATGCTTCAGAGGTCATCTGACACACCTTGACAACACTGTTGTGCAACAAATGTTGGGTAACCCAGAGCTTGGTTTGCCCCTGTCAGGCTGTGGCCAGATGGTGTGTATACTACTCAGTATGGACTTTAGTGTACACATTTGTGTAAGTAATATAGAGACTGCAGTAAGTAGGTTACTCTCACAGAGTGGAACTCTCATCCTTTAATCAATGTTCCGTAATTATGAGTTTCCTATAATGCCTTTCTGGGATGCACGCATATTTAAATCCAGCATGTGTTCTACATGCTCAAGTCGTGTACGCTACGCTATGTGGCTAGTCCCACCAGTACTTACAAGTACTCATGATACACATTCGGCAGCCTTTTTGGTATAGTGTATATGCATGAAAACAGCCGAGGCAACGTATGCTACTGTATTAAAGCAACCTTCTAATGACATGGGGTACTCTAATAGGTATAGTGTGAACTGTGCCTGGCAGTATTACAGTAGTCCTGCATTGCATGTACCTACCTTAGCGTACTGTTAAACCTACTGATCTTCTTGAGCAACTCGTTCAAATGACGCGAACTCCCCTAGTAGCCGGGGAGTTTACGACAACTGATGGAGGGTTGTAATTTACCTGCGTGTTCCTTCTTAAATTAACATTTATCTCATTTTACATCCTAGCCTGGCGGTAAACAAACTATGCTCCGCTATGTCACATGAGTTGGGCGAGCTTATTAAATGTCTTGAGGCTATGCACCAAATTTTCTAGAAAAAATAAAGTAAGATCCGCTAATCGGACCCGAGATGAGCCTCGTCTTAGTGTTGGGTAAGATAGAGGGGTAGGTGCTTTGCCTAGCTGTGTTTGCAGATCGTGACTCGAGTTGAAGCGCCCGTAAACCCACTATTACGCGATAACGCAATGTATCACTGCATGAATTGTAGTCCACAGCAAGTTTCACTCTGTACCTAGTGATAGAGTATGGTAAACTACTCCGTAATGATACCAATCCTTGAACGTTAGGCAGTAACATCTTCATCCCCCAGACTGCATTACGGCAAGGAGCAACTGGACCCCTGTCTCGAGAAAAGGAACGCGCGCTAAGCGGCAAGACGACGGGCGCTTCTGCCTAGGACATGGATGGCCGTTAGCGAGCACAGATACAGTTGATCGTGACAACGACGACTTAGTTTCCTACGTGTAATTCAATATTAAACACACTATAGCGATATCTTATGAGTGGTATAGTGGCTGATTTGTCAAGGGAAGCTTTACACTATTGTTGTGCTCGTGTTGGGACAATGGAAGCTAGATCTCTGGAATGACATGTTGACCTTACTTAGTAGATCCTAGCCCCAAAGGTGGTGTGATTGCAACTGGCGACGACTGCTTGGGGGAGTGGAGAGCAAGAAAGCGTTGATCTCCCTTGGCGATCTACGTAACTAGCGACGGCTCTAAAGGGGGGGCCTGAATAGAACCCGAAGCCTTGCTATTCTTTAGTTTCGGCTCTACAGCAGGCCTCGGAAACGAAGCATTAGTGCTTCTGACTAGCCAATTTTACGTGGCACTTGGAGGAAGTGGTTAGATCGGGATAGAAACGATCAAGTGAAGTGCGGGAAATGCGGCGCTTAGGCTCTCGTCTCGGTGCTCTTTGACATGAGTTGACTACAGACAAATCTACTCAGGAGGCTACGCATGGGTAATCACGCAAATGATTCGAGCATGGGATAAAATATTGCGTCTGTTTGGACGTATAATCTTGCAATATATGCGACCTATAGTTGGCTATAACTCCTACTATTGGGAATCATAGTACCATTTTTAATACCTATACAAGCAGTTATTGAACTTGCGTATTTTCCTTAAGACCTGCTCAAATCTAATATGATCTTCGCTTTTTGGTGGATGCATGCAAGTGTCACTGAGTATAGCGTCGCCTGGCGTTCTAGTGTAGTACGGTGGCTGGCGGACCCAAGGTCGAAGGATTGAGACCAGTTAAACCAGAATCGAGGGACCCGGGATTTGGACAGGAAGAAGCCAGTCGGTTCCAGCCCAGAATCGCGGCACCGAGCTAGGGCAGCTACTGCAGAATTGAGTGACTAGGGGTGGTGACATGGATCTAGCATCTATTAACCCTTGTTACTGATTGTCCTGGAAGTAAGGCGTTATAGTTCTTGGCGATGTTAAAACTTCAAGTAACATTTTACGCTACCTGCCTCTCCTGCCGGTATT